GTTCACAGGTGACTCATACTCACATCACCTGGCTATCGCTCACAGGTGACTGATACATCACATGGCCATCGTTCACAGGTGACTGATACTCACATCACCTGGCTATCGCTCACAGGTGACTGATACATCACATGGCCATCGTTCACAGGTGACTCATACTCACATCACATGGCTATGGCTCACAGGTGACTGATACTCACATCACATGGCCATCGTTCACAGGTGACTGATACATCACATGACCATCGTTCACAGGTGACTCATACTCACATCACCTGGCTATGGCTCACAGGTGACTGATACTCACATCACATGGCCATCGTTCACAGGTGACTCATACTCACATCACATGGCCATCGTTCACAGGTGACTCATACTCACATTTCATTAAAGAAGAACCCGTCCAGAGGACCTATACAATTTTTTTTCCTAAGTGATAATGTTTATTTCATGTTTTATGACAATAACCCTTATTTTAGAAAATTAAAACTAAACTAGATATGACTAAAACTATAAACCACAGACAAGTAGATGAATGAAAAAATAGGTTATGACAGAGACAAGCCGAGAGAACTGGTGTACGAAATTCAGTTCCCATGTGAAAATCTGGTACCTGTCCGTTCTTACACAGATCGGCCCACATGCTGGTTCCGTCTCCTCCCCTCATCAGAACTTGGTAAGTGAAGAAGTAGATTCCAGACACCTGGCACGTGAACTTCCCAGTGGTCACATCGTAGTCACTCCCCAAGTTTGTAACAACATCGTCAAAGCGCACYACTTCGTACCCCTCATGTGGATTCTTCAGACCCACATAGAAGGCGATATGTTCTGGTCCGAGAGGGCTCAGCTCTCCTGGTTTAGTCTGCCCTGGAACCATAACCTCTCCCGTCTTTCCAGAGCCTCCTGGTGGTCCCCTCAGACCAGGTGGCCCTCGTTCCCCTTGTGGTCCTCTTGGTCCAGGCTTCCCTGGCCGACCCGGTTCGCCTTTAGTCTCTTGTCCGAAAGCGGTTGATGGAATCACGCTCAGGTCATGCAGAACCTCTGTGGTGCTGTAGGGGTCYCAGACCATCCGGCAGGTTCCCACCATCTCGTAATGTGCATCAGTCCTGGAAGTTTGGACCAGCAGAGGAACCACAAGGATCAGAGTCAGAACCATAACGATACCAGAGACGACTGCGAAGAGTCTCCTCTTCTGCAGACTCTGGCTCGTTCTCTAATGATGGAGGAGGCAGGAGGGGGTCTGCAGCTCAGCTGGTGGACCTGGTCAGCTGTTGTATCCAGTGCAAAAGAGAGACAGTGAATAGCTGAGCTCGAGGCACTTGAAGTGGTGCCACTTTCACTTGGACTCACTGAGCTGACAGGACCCTGATCCGGTTTGATGTTTCAGGACCTGGCGGATCTGAGAGCAGTGGGAGGCCGGGGTGGGGGTGGTTCTGCCATTTCAGTCTTTTTTTTAAATTTACATTTTTCTTACACTCTGCCTCAGAGTCTGCATGTTGGGTCCCTTAACAAACATTAAATWATTTTAAACTTTATTCATTTCATTAAAAAACAAAAACAAAACACATTTACATAAAACCAAACAATACAAATCAAATAAAATGAAAGGCAGCAGAAGAAGATAAAAATCTCATAATATCTGCCCCTATTTGCAAAAAATATTATTTCAGACAATAGTAAACAGACAATAAAACTAAGCAAAAAATTC